GAGTACAATGTAATGAAAAATATGTTAAAAAAAATTTTTTAATGTAACTTTTAAATATTTACTTCAGAAATATATATAGGAATTTCATCTTACTGTTATATTTTTATCAGAGTAATTTGTCTGAAATTATAGTACAATTTTTCAATTTTTTGGATTAATTAATACTCTTGACAAACTTATAGTTTTTTCTTACCATTTGACATTTTACAATGCTTGAATGATTTTCGAAACTTAGTTCCAAAAAGTTCCACGAGGTAATTAGCTAAACTTTTTTTTTGTCTTCTTTGATGTTTCTTTTTTCGAAAAAACGTGCCCCATTTTGCCCTTATTGCAAAGGCGGACTAAATATACCGAAAAACAAAAATTATGTTTCTTTTTTCATGTTTTCGCGTTATTTTGTAATTAATTTGCGTTTTTTTTATAATATTACTTCGGAAATATAATTTACTTTTCATTTTTAGTATATAATTAAGAAAATTATTTTATTTTCATTGCTATATTTAATTATTTAAGCGTACTATATTATTTTCTTTTTCTTTTTGCTCGCCATATTTCAATTGACATTTTGTTTTTTAGGTATTTTTAGTGTATTTCAAAATTTCAACTATGAATTCAATTTACCTGCACATAAAATCCCCTAAATAAAAACCCCCACATTTTGAAACAAATTTTATTGAAATTCTAATTTTGGCCTCGAAACCTTGGATGCTGGCCCACTGTGAAATGAATTAAAAATCGCTGTTATCTTTACACTTTCTGTCTATTCCTATTCTGATTGAATTCTGCAAACGTCAACGACTACAAAAAACAAGCAGAAGGTATTGGAATATTAAAAAAGCTGATTGGAGCCGTTTCACTGCAAAGCTAGATAATGAAACAAACACACCGCTTGAAGAGGATATAAATTGCAAATGGAAATCTTTCAAATATGCCATATTACAGACAGCTCGTAGGACAATTCCAAGAGGTAATGTGAAGAATTATATTCCATTTTTAAAACATAATTCCCCTCAGTTAAAGCCGCTGTTGGACAAGAGGAATCAACTGATCGTAGAGCTAACCAACTCTACTAATGTTCATTCTAGAATTGAGCTAAGCAGGGTCAGAAGATCTTACACTGAAAACAAAAGATTGAAATGATTGGAACTTTTCTCCAAGCTCGACTCAAGATCATCTGACACTAAACTTTGGAAAATTGTTTAGAGCTTCTATAAAGAACAACAGCAACGTGAAAAATTTAACACCATTGTTGACGAAAATGGTAATCTTGCACAAGACGACAAATCGGCTGCTAACCTATTAGGTTTATTTTATCAGGATACAAGCACCTTGAATTTTTCCAAGGAGGATTCAAAGGTAAAAAATAAGGCCAAGAACGTTTTACATGATTGTCGCACCTCTTCAGCAAGAAATACAATCTTCACAAGTACCTTTAACTTGCACGAATTGATTTGTGCAATGAATGAAGCAAATCTTAACAAGTCCCCGGGACCGGACGGCATCCATGGTCAAATGCTAAAACATCTGGGTAAGAAGTTTTTGAGTAGATTCCTAGACATCATAAATCAATCCTGGCTTCTAGGTCGCCTTCCTAATGACTGGAAAAGAGCAATCATCGTTCCGATCAGAAAACCCAACAAAGAAGCCAGCTCTCCCGATAGTTATAGGCCAATCGCACTCATCAGCACTGCTTGCAAGATTATGGAAAGGATGATTTTAAACAGACTCATCTTTTTTCTTGATAGTCATAACTTACTTTCGAAGGAACAATTCGGCTTTTGGACAGGACACAGTACTACTGATCAAGTACTATTCTTTGGACAGCGAATACGCGATGTCCACAACCACCTGCCCACTAAACATACTGCAGCTGCCTTTTTGGACTTGACTAAGGCATTTGATAGAGTTTGGAAATAAAAACTTATTGTCAAACTCTTTACTTTCTTCAAAATGGATGGATTTGCCTTGCCTTGTACTAATGATTTCTTGAAATACAGACTGTTTAACGTTAAGTTCAACAATGTTTTATCGGACACCTTTACACTGCAGCAGGGACTTCCCCAAGGATCCGTCCTGAGTCCAACTCTGTTTTCTTTGTTTCTAGCCGGCATTGAGAGGGTCATTTCGAAGCGATGTGAGGTAGGACTATTCGCTGACGACATTGTCTTATGGTGCTCTGATTCAGATGTCAGCAATATCGAAAATAACCGTAATCTAACTTTAATGGAAATTCAGGAGTTTGCAAAGTGTAACAAATTGACCTTTATTCATTCAAAATCATCTGTTAGTTTCTTCACAACTAACAAACGACTCTACAGATTTCAACCCAATATCCTCCTGTATGGCCAAACTCTACTTGTTGAAAAACACTCTAGTCACTTGGGCTTCATTCTTGATCCTGAAGTCACCAACAATAAGCATATCAACAACTTAGTGTTGAAAAGTAGAAAGAGACTTAAAATCTTAAAGTATATTGCTGGGTGAGATTGGGGCGCTGACGCTACCACCTTAAGAGCCACATATCTTGCTCTTATCAGGCCAATCCTGGAATATGGAGCACCCGTCTATAGCTGTGCATCTGCTTCAAACCTTCAACGTCTCGAACGAGTCCAGCTTTCTGCTGCTCACATTATTACTGGACTCAGGAACAGTTGCCCAAATGACATTGTCTTGTTTAAGGCCGACCTCCAACCTTTAGGTCTCAGAAGAAATTAGCTCCAATCTAAATACTTTAATAAGCTCTTTAGCCTTGGACACCAAAACAGAACAGCAGATTATCTACAAAGGTGGAGCAGCAACCAAGGACTAAAGAAGAATAGCCCATTTTGCCAGGCCGTAGTTAACAAAGTTCTAGCTGGAAATGTTGAGGATTGCCTTAATAAACAACTTATTGACCCAACTGAAGGACTTGCTGGTGTTTATTTCCCCCAACACCTTTCATCACAAGTTAACAAGAAATTGGATCGCCCGGTATTGCTCAAACAACTTGCTTTGGAGGTTATAAATACTATCCCCAAACACTCAATACTGGTGTACACAGACGGAAGCAAGACGGACACATCATCATCTGGCAGCGATGTCTACATTAAATCAATTAATTACTCCTTTAACATCACCAAAAGGAATCCTGATTACTGCTCAGTTTTTAGAAGTGAACTCATTGCTATTGATACTGGCCTGGATTCTCTTCTAACAATACAGGATCACAATGATATCTGGATACTCTCTGACAGTCTCAGTTCCATACAGTACTTATCGTATTGGAGGAAGGTGAGAGACAAACCAGGAGCTTCAATCCTGCACAAACTTGAAATCCTTTCACGACTGCGTGAAGTCCACCTCCAGTGGATCCCTTCTCACGTTGGGGTTCTGGGCAATGATATCGCCGACACTCTGGCTAAAGAGGGGACAGAAGAAACTTGGATGAGTCCAAATTCAGTCACCTTCATGGAACTGGCATCGAAAGAGAAAAAACAAGACAATGTTTCCTGGCTCGTATTCCCCAAACATCACTGGTACCAGAGCACTCGTTCAGGAGGTGCACTCAACATTCGGTGCAACCGATCAGACGGAGCTTACCAGCGGTCACCTAAAGTCTCTTTCTTTCGAGGGTAGTGTTAAAATCTTCTCAAACTGCCCCAGGTGCCACAACATGCAGGCTTCTCCCCAACATATCCTGGACTGTCTTGGACTGGACAAGAGGGACATCTTTAGAATACTTTTGGTGGCCGACTTTCTCTGGGTCATGAATTTCATGGACATTGTTTAGCCCTGCTAATATTGGGGATTAGGAAGAAGAAGAACACTTTCTGTGACCTGTATTTTTAATGCGGAATTGTAAGTGATATTTATTTCAATATACATATAAAATGTTTTTAGGAGACATATATGAAACTAAAGAACTTATCAAACGACGAGAAATCACGATCTGTATAACAGTTGCTTACATTATACTAGTAAAATGGTTGGTGCCAAGAATAATGGAAAATCGAAAACCATTGGAGCTAAAAAGAATCCTCATCGTATATAATTTGTTGTGTTGCTTTTTAAATGGCATTTTGGCTTATTATGTGAGAAATTTTTTTTTTCCTTCAATTAGTCTTTCTTTACAAACTTTTTTTTTCTATTTTAGTATACAATTAGTGGTTTTTCTTCTTATTGAGCGGCATTTTGGCTTACTATATGAGAAAACAATACTTTCCTTACAATATTTCTTTACGAAGTTTTTTTCTTCTATTGTCGCATATAATTTGTTGGTTTGTTTATTGAACGGCATTTCGGCTTACTACATGAGAAAACCATTTTTTTTCTCCTCTTGCCAGTATTTCTTTACAAACCTTTTTTCCCCCAACTAATAAAAGAAGACTACACTGTGCTCTATCGTCAGTTAGTGTGAAAAATAGTGTTCCCTGGAATATAACTCAATTGAATGTTAAAAATTTATGAAACCTGCATGTAACTGAACACTACAGTGATATCTGTTGGAACTCTAATTTCCGAAAAATTTCGAATGTGAAAGGAAGAAGGGGGAATTTTTTCCCCAGAAAAACAATTGAAGTTTAAAAATTAGTGTGCATGTTATTGAACTCGATGATGGTTATTGTAACTGATTCACAATTTCTAATTTCGGAACTTTTATCAACTCATTAATTTGCACACTAAGCGCTAGAGAAATAACCAGTAATTGATTTCAGAAATTTTTTTTAGATAAAATATTGTTCTTTTTTTTTATGTTCTAGACTGTATTACGTCTTAATTTTTTTTATTTTTTAAGATTTATTTTATCTGGTCATAATGTAGGAGGATTACTCACGTAGTTCTCTATACGTTTTAACGTCACGTAGTTGCGTTATCACTTTTTATTTCCCCTACATCATAAGCTGTAAAAATGATATGATTTTTACCACCGTATTAGCTTATAAGTCAAGTAATAGATGATCGAAGTGCGCCTATATTGTAGCGATTATTTTTTTTTCTATATAGCAAAATTTAACTTTCTCTTATTATTTCAACCTTCTTACTCGACACCTTTGATGTTCTGATAAGTTCATTACAAGGGTTGAACCGGGAGCTAAAAATTAA